AACAAGAAGAACTGCAGCTTTACGTATATTTCTACAACTTTTATAGAACCTTGCAACTCTCGAGAAAAAAGGTTTACAAACAAGGAAACAATTATTTTGCTCGTATGAATAAAGCATTTGGAGAAGCGAACGTGCTAGAGGTCAGTTAAGAGTCGGCAGCATAGATGCTCTTGGCCTTGTCGGCTTCTGCCGGCGACAATCCCGACGCGCCTGTTCCCGGTGATGAATGGTCCGTGCAGATCAGCAGAAGCAGCAATTGAGTGCGTTGTTTCGGTCGTTTGTAAGGACGAATGCTTCCAATGCCTCATAAATCTTCATTACGGGACATTAATCACCCATTCTGCCATGTGCACCGATTAAGCAATGAGTTTTCCCGAGAAAACCATAAATGAATAGGTAAAATTGCAACATTTGGCGCTTGGCAGGATCGAAGTCCATTCTAGTCTAAGAATCCCATTTCCTTATTGTTCATTTTAGATTGACAGAAAAAATCAATAATTGATTTATTGCACAGAGATCGATATCGCAACATTCAACAGTTTGATAAAACATTAAATGAGCAGAATTTTTACAAACGTCGCTCAAAGGCGACAATTTTTGAGGCACTTATCCTCAAAAAAGATAAATATATCACATTATACCCGTATATCAAACACATAGTGATTTTTGCATCAAACAAACTTAGAACGTATATCAGTATGTTTAGCGGAGTCATTTACAGAAACGTCTATAGTTTATGAAAATGTAAAGCATACCGAAAAAAAAGCTTAATATGCTGCAATCACGGGCATATTTAATAGATATTTCACATTCAAATGCTTCCACGATTCCTATAGGACAATGCCAGCTTGTTCCTTAATTAGCGCCAATTTAATGCATATTTACACAGAAGTACTGATTGGTGAGGGTCGTCGTGGACTTTCCAAGTATTCTATAGGTTCCAATGGAGGTACAGCAGGATTTGTCCCATGCGGTTGTCCTGAAGGTGGTGGAGCCGCTGCTGGTGGCGGGGCTGCTTCCTGCGAAAGATTACTTTCCAGCGTTGAAGTTTGTGATCGGATTCCATTGATAAGAAATGAGGGCAGACGTGCTGCTCGTCCTGGATGACTGAAAAGACATTTTTTAAATCTTTATTCAAATTCAATCAACTAAGCTTTGTTTATGCACTCATTTGTTCAATCATTCAGCCGCACACTCACTCATTC